TGTACATTAATTTTGTATCCTGAAACTTTGCTGAATTCATTTATCAGTTATAGAAGCTTTTCAGAGTCTTTAATGTTTTCTAGGTATACCACTATATTATTTATCATCAAACAGCAACAGCTTGACTTCCACCTTACCAATTTAAAACTTTTTTTTTTTTTTTTGAGACAGAGTCTCCCTCTGTCACCAGGATGGAGTGCAGTTGTGCGATCTTGGCTCACTGCAACCTCTGCCTCCGGGTTCAAGTGATTCTCCTGCCTCAGCCTCCTGAGTAGCTGGGACTACAGGTGTGTGCCACCACACCCAGATAATTTTTGTATTTTTAATAGAGACAGTGTTTCAGTATCTTGGCCAGGCTGGTCTCAAACTCCTGAGCTCATAATCCACCCACCTCAGCCTCCCAAAGTGCTGGGATTATAGGCATGAGCCACAGTGCCTGGCCTAACAATTATACCTGTCTCATCACTTAAAAGAGCCACTAGTTTTTTTTGTTTTGTTTTGTTTTGTTTTTTTGAGACGGAGTCTTGCTCTGTCGCCCAGGCTGGAGAGCAATGGCATGATCTCGGCTCACTGCAACCTCCGCCTCCTGGGTTCAAGCCATTCTCCTGTCTCAGCCTCCTGAGTGGCTGGGATCGCAGGTACACACCACCATGCCCAGCTAATTTTTGTATTTTTAGTAGAGATGGGGTTTCACCATGTTGGTCAGGCTGGTCGTGAACCCCTGACCTCGTGATCCACCCGCCTCGGCCTCCCAAAGTGTTGGGACTACAGGCGTGAGCCACTGCGCCCAGAAAGAGCCACTAATTCTACTTTTGAAATATACTGAATATTTATATTAAAAGCTAAGACAAGCTTACTATTATGTAGAAAATTTGTGGTTTGCATGTGCATTATTACCCATTAAGTGATCTACAGTTTCTGAAAGTTTCAGAAACACCAATATAAAAATACTATTTCTGATTGAATAAAAGATATTGTCATTTTAGTCACTACTAAATGAAACAGATTGGAATTGCTAGTCACAATGTGGTTTTAAATGTTATTTAATGAACACATGTGAAGTTTCTGTTCAACTCATGTTAACTATTTTTTCACTTCTATTAGAAAAATATTAAAATTTAAATTACTACAAATGTATGAATGTATTCAAATCTAAACACAGTGCCAATCTTAAAAGATCTGTATGCATAGGATTATAGAATGCCTATTCTCTATTTACCTTAGAAGATAAATAACTGCTTTTCAATAAACCCAATGGGGCAATTGTGACTCACAATCATAAGCTACTAAAATACTATCATCTAGAAAGTATTTATTAATTCATTTTTCTTACTTTTGAAATACAGTCATAATTTCTAGTTGTCATAACACTAGGTTTGAGGTGCTGTGGCTGCAGTAACTAGAAATGTCATGGTTGACTCTGCTTTACTTTCTGCCTATTTCTTACAAACACGGCAAAACAAGGAAGGCCAGAAATCCTACACCTTGATTGCAAATACACCAGTACCCTTCTAGGGAGAATATATGTTCGAACATATTAACTTGAAATTCCTGGCATCTTTTCTTGAAGAATAGACTTTTTTTTTTTTTTTTTTTTTGAGGTGGAGTTTTTCTCTTGTTGCCCAGGCTGGAGTGTAATGGTGCAGTGTCGATTCACTGCAACCTCTGCCTCCCAGGTACAAGCGATTCTCCTGCCTCAGCCTTCTGAGTGGCTGGGATTACAGGCACCTGCCACCACGCCCGGCTAATTTTTTGTGTGTTTTTAGTAGAGACGGGGTTTCATCATGTTGGCCAGGCTAGTCTCGATTTCCTGACCTCATGATCTGCCCGCCTCGACCTTCCAAAGTGCCGGGATTACAAGCGTGAGCCACCGCGCCCAGCCTAGAACAATTTTCTTACACTTTAGAACAATTTTCTTACATCTTTAGAACAATGTATGTGTATATTTAACTTTATGTAAATCAAAACTAAAAGTCATATGTGTTTGCAGGCAGAGAGGCCAAAAGTTCAAAAATGTATATATAACAAAATTTTAAGAATATTGTAGTCAATAACAACTTAGTTGTACATTTAAAAATAACTTAAGGCCAGGTATGGTGGCTCACACCTGTAATCCCAGCATTTTGAAAGGCTAAGGTGTGTGGATCACGAGGTCAGGAGTTCAAGACCAGCCTGACCAACACAGAATCCCCGTCTCTACTAAAAATACAAAAATTAGCTGGGCATGGTAGTACGCACCTGTAATTCTGGCTACTCAGGAAGCTGAGGCAGGAGAATCGCTTGAACTCGGAAGTGGAGGTTGAAGTGAGCCAAGATCTGCCACTGCACCCCAGCCTGGGCGATAGAGCAAAACTCCGTCTCAAAAAATAAACAATAAAAAATAAAAATAACTAAAGTGTAGAACTGGATTGTTTGTAATACAAAACATAAATGCTAGAGGTGATGCATACCTCATTTACCCTGATGTGATTATTACATATTATATGCCTATATCAAAATATATGTTATATGGCATAAATATATACACATACTTTGTACCCACAAAATTTAAAAAACAGATTTAAACGAGAAAAAAAGAATAAAAATTTAACCTACAGAAACAATATTTTTTAACTTATTTGCAGTTGAAAGCCACTGGCAAAAGAGATTACCAGAGATGTTAGTTGATTATGTTACCAAATAGTATATTCTTACTATCTTTTACCTACACCTTTGAGTAAATGGGATAGGTTTCAGTTAGTGGCATAATAATGCTTTATTGAATGCACAATAGTATTAACATGTTAAAAACTGTATAATTAAGCAATTAAGTTCACACATAATCTGAAATGTTAAAAATGTACTGCATTTTATTACATAAAAGTACAAGTAGTAAAATCATATACTAATTTTTTAATTTTAACAAGACAAGTATGTTCTCACTATAATGCAAAGAATATTACTGTGAACACCTACCTCATGCACCACTCAATATCATAAGTTAACCACAAATAGCGTCTCCACTTAGATTTTCATCATGCATGTAACATTTTAATGTCCTTACTCTTCCAAAGAAAAGGTCATAAATGCCCACCTAAAAAAAAAGAAACTCTCCTATCTTTGATGCAGTGACAACTGATCACATGTGAATACAACAGAAATGAAGAAATAGCATCAAGTAATTTCAGAGTTGAATTACAGCATTATTAGCTTTTTAAAAAATCTGTACTTCTTTTCAAGGAAAAAAGTATAATTTGGGCTGGGCGCGGTGGCGTAAGCCTGTATTCACAGCACTTTGGGAAGCCAAGCTGGGCAGATCATGAGGTCAGAAGTTCAAGACTAGCCTGACCAACATGGTGAAACCCCGTCTCTACCAAAAACATAAAAATCAGCTGGACGTGGTGGTGTGCGCCTGTAATCCCAGCTACTCAGTAGGCTGAGGCAGGAGAATTGCTTGAACCCAGGAGGCAGAGGCTGCAGTGAGCTGAGATTGTGCCACTGCACTCCAGCCTGGACGACAGAGAGATTCTCTGTCTCAAGCGGGGGGAGGGGGAAGTATAGTTTGAATGTAATTACAAACTTCCAAAAAATTTTCTACTCTTTTTAAAATTATGTACAAATAAATTTATCTACCGTTTGGGATCATTTTTTACACTCAGCACTTTGATATAGTGTAATGTCTGAAGTGTCAGTACCTTAGTATTTTTTGTTTTTGTTTTTGAGATGGAGTCTCACTCTGTCGCCAGGCTAGAGTGCAGCAGTATAATTTCGGCTCACTGCAACCTCTGCCTCCCGGGTTCAAGTGATTCTCCTGCCTCAGCCTCCCGAGAAACTGAGACTACAGGCACATGCCACCACGCCCAGCTAATTTTTATATTTTTAGTAGAGACAGGGTTTTATCATGTTGACCAGGATGGTCTCAATCTGTTGACCTCATGATCCACCCACCTCAGCCTCCCAAAGTGCTGGGATTACAGGCGTGAGCCACTATGCCCGGCCCTACCTTAGATATTTCTACTGTAAATTCTCTGATATTTACATAGACTTAATTTTGGATTGAATGTTTTAAATATATACTGCATCTGCAAAAATATATTTCAGTATGAACCCTCTGGTGTTGTCTAAGTTGTAGTTTTGGAAAAAAAATTCAAATTTATTATGTTTGCAGGGTTGTTCTCCAATCTGAATTCCCTGATGTTGAACAAAGTTTAATCAACTGCTTCACGGTTTTCTCTAGTACAAAACGTGTACAGTAAGATCTGTGATACAAGTAAAGGTACTACAACCCTTTTTTATTTGTAATGTTTGTCTTCACAATAAATACTCTACTTTAAAAGCTTATATTTTCTGAAAGATTTTTTGACAGTAATTAAATTTATAATACTTTTATTAAGTACTCTCTGATGTTGAGTAAGATGTGAGCAGACATTAATGGCTTTTTCACAGTCTTTATATTGGTACAATTTTTCTCAAGTGTAAATGCTTTCCTGGCAATAAGGTGTGAGTATTCATTAAAAAGTTTGCCACATTCTTCACACTTGTAAGAGTTTTTGTAGTAATAATTATCTTACCTACAATCAAGTGTGACAATCATTTAAAGGTTTTGTTTTCACATTTTAAAGTTCCCCTTCAGCTGTATCAACATTTGGAGCGACAGGGATATAAGATCGACCATCCTCTAATACAAACCTCTAAAAAAACAAAAAACAGCATGAAGTTCCTGTCAGCTACAGGCTAGGATAGATTGAACGAAGCTTCAGTGCTAGATGCAATAGCTTGAGGAGATGTCCAAAAAAAAAAAAAAAAAAAAAAAAAAGAATTCTGCGATGTTTTTCAAAGTTTGAGTTTTCATACTGCGATGTCTTCCAGCTTTGTAGTTTCTCTCAAGTTTTTTTGTTTGTTTGTTTTTAACGTGTAGTAAGATTTGGGGACCAGTTAAGTACTTTGCCACATTCTTTACATTTGTAGGGTTTCTCTCTAGTATGAATTATCTTTTTTTTTTTATAAGGATTAAGAGCCAGTTAAAGGTTTTGCCACATTTATCACATTTGTAGGATTTCTCTCCAGTATTATCTTGTGTTTTAATAAAAGTTGAAAATACACTAAAGGATTTGACACATTATTTACATTTGTAGAGTTTCTCTTTGGTATGAATTCTCTTATGTTTAGTAAGGTTTGGGGACTGGTTAAAGGCTTTGCCACATTCTTCACATTTGTAGGGTTTCTCTCCAGTATGAATTATCTTATGTTTCATAAGGGTTGAGGACTGGTTAAAAGCTTTGCCACATTCTTTACATTTGTAGGGTTTCTCTCCAGTATGAATTATCTTATGTGTAGTAAGGTGAGAGGACAGAATAAAGCTTTTGCCACATTCTTCACATTTATAGGGTTTCTCTCCAGTATGAATTTTTTTATGATTAGTAAAATTTGAGGAGTAGTTAAAAGTTTTGCCACATTCTTCACATTTGTAGGGTTTCTCTTCAGTATGAATTACTTTATGTTTAGTAAGGATTGAGAATATACTAAAGGCTTTACCACATTCTTCACATTTGTAGGGTTTCTTTCCAGTATGAATTACCTTATGATAAGTAAGAGTTGAGGACTTGGTAAAGGCTTTACCACATTCTTCACATTTGTAGGGTTTCTCTCCAGTATGAATTACCTTATGATTAGTAAGGTGTGAGGACCGGTTAAAAGCTTTACCACATTCTTCACATTTATAGGGTTTCTCTTCAGTATGAATTATCTTATGTTTAGTAAGGGTTGAGAATACACTAAAAGCTTTGCCACATGCTTCACATTTATAGGGTTTCTCTCCAGTATGAATTCTCTTATGTGTAGTAAGGTGTGAAGATAAAGTAAAGGCTTTGCCACATTCTCCACATTTGTAAGGTTTCTCTCCAGTATGAATTTTCTTGTGATTAGTAAGGTTTGAGGACTGCTTAAAAGCTTTTCCACATTCTTCACATTTGTAGGGTTTCTCTCCAGTATGAACTATTTTATGTTTAGTAAGGTTTGAGGACCGGTTAAAAGCTTTGCCACATTCTTCACATTTGTAGAGTTTCTCTCCAGTATGAATTATCTTATGTCTAGTAAGAGTTGAGGACTGGTTAAAAGCTTTTCCACATTCTTCACATTTGTAGGGTTTCTCTCCAGTATGAATTATCTTATGATTAGTAAGGTTTGAGGACTTTTTAAAAGCTTTGCCACATTCTCCACATTTGTAGGGTTTCTCTCCAGTATGAATTATCTCATGTTGAGTTAGTTGTGAAAGCATGCAAAATGATTTGCCACATTCTTTACATTTGAAAGGATTTTTTCCAGTATGTCTTATCTTATGTCTCTTTGAATATTTATGAAAGACTTTCACATATTTATCATACTGAACTACTTTGCTCTGGGTAGTTGTCACACATTGGTTAAGTTCCTTATGACCTCCTTTGTGCAACTTATGCTCATCCACACTTTTACAGCCTTTTCTTAATTGTAAATTCTGATATCCACATTTTCCATATCTTCTCAGTATCACTTGTTGGAATGAATTTTTTATGTACTGCTCTGGCCTAAGGTCTTTGGCAAAATGAGAACACATAGCTGAAAGAAATAAAAATAACAAATTATTCCACTTACTCGGCTCCGATTAATGTCATTTACAAATCTAACTTACACCAGCTATATAAGCAAAATGGCACAGCAAAACACCACAGATCCTAAATCCTTTATAGACACATAAATGTAACAAAAACATTCTGACCAAAATACATTTGTGAAAAATTTATAAATGAGTAAAGTGTGTGCAGTGTCCCAGGCGAGGATAATGCAAAGAGCCACATAGGAGAAAAAAGAAAAGTCTGTTACATTTACCCAACACACCTCTTTCTGCTGCCCAATCTAACATGGTGACTTTAGAAGTAAATTGTCAACTCCTGGTTTCTTTTTTAAAAGACTAAAAAAAATAGTGTCACATACATCTTTATTTCTGGCTCTCAGGGGCCTTTTCAGACACTGGTTTCTGTCTCCCATGACATAAAGTACTAAAATAAATGGTAGTATACTTTGGAATGACAGTTTGAGTCTGCTGAGACCAAAGTTAAGTGTTACAGCAGCAGAGACTGCAGTACCACATACAGGAAACAGGTTTAGCAAGTGATTACTGAGTATTTAGAAGAAACGCTAACATACTTCTTTAACTTAAAAAGCCCACAAAATTTTAGACAAGACACAATCTAAGAAAATGTTAGAGACTCCCAAAATCTCTAGCCAAGACAACTGGTTTCAGACTGTCCCAGGCCTAAGCTACATTATAAAGATTGTGACAGGGCCGGGCACGGTGGCTCACAGCTGTAATCCCAGCACTTTGGGAGGCCAAGGAGGGTGAATCACCTGAGGTCGGGAGTTCAAGACCAGCCTGACCAACAAGGAGAAACCCCATCTCTACTAAAAATACAAAATTAGCTGGGCATGGTGGCACATGCCTGTAATCCCAGCAACTAGGGAGGCTGAGGCAGGAGAATCACTTGAACTCGGGAGGCAGAGGCTGTGGCGAGCTGATATCACGCCACTGCACTCCAGCCTGGGCAACAAGAGCAAAACTCCGTCTCAAAAAAAAAAAAAAAAAAAAAAAAAGATTGTGACAGGTAGCTTGTTTTTAATGTCTAAATCTCAATCAAAGATTAATGTATACAAAATATTAGGGCAGGATGACCCCATCAAAAACATTACTAAACTTTCAGAAAGCAACCATAGGAATGTAAAGATGTACAAATTTTTAAAATTTAAAATAAATTAAATACTACACAGTGAATGAAACAGGAACACAGACAACTACTGAAGTTTAGAAAACTCAGGATAACAATAAAAATATTAAAAATATCAAAAAAACATAAATTAGGAAGATAAAAATGTCACAGTCAAGAAGAGAATCTTGGGAGCTGCAAGACAAAGTAATGTATCATTTATAAAAATGTCTTATGAGATAACCAGTAAATTTTCAAAAAATATTGGAATACCTGACGAGAACTGGGTGATATAGTCAAAGCCCTGGAAAAAAAAAAAAACAGCTGTCAAGTGAAAACAATACAACTAAAAAGAACTGGTTGGGCAAAGTGGCTCATGCCTATAATCTCAGCACTTTGGAAGGCCGAGGCAGGCGGATCACCTGAGGTCAGGAGTTCGAGACCAGCCTAGCTAACATGGTGAAACTCCATTTCTACTAAAAATATAAAAAATTAGCCAGGCGAGGTCACACGCGCCTGTAATCCCAGCTACTCAGGAGGCTGAGGCAGGAGAATCGGTTGGACCTGGGAGGCAGAGATTGCAGTGAGCCAAGATCATGCCACTGCACTCAAGCTTGGGCAACAAGAGTGAAACTCCTTTTCAAAAAAAATAAAAAATAAATAAATAAAAAAGAACTGTCCAACCGAATAAAAAGAAAGACCTTCTAAAAATAACCTAATCCTGAAAAAGTATATTGGCACTGCATATGCCCTACATACCAAAGATGCTGAAAGGAGTTCTTCCCACTGAAAATAACATGATGCAGGAGAACACATAATCATACAAAAAAATATAACTTTCTGGGAAAGATATTTACATACACAAAAATAGAATTCCTTAGCATTTTAATAATCATGCAGAAAACATTATTATTCTATAAAATTTTAAAGATAAAAGCATAGAAATGATTATAAACATCTGTTAATGTAACATAAAAATAAATAATTAGCGGCCAGGCACAGTGGCTCATGCCTGTAATCCCAGCACTTTGGGAGCCTGAGGAGGGTGGATCACCTGAGGTCAGGAGTTCAGGAGTTCAAGACCAGCCTGGCCAACATGGTGAAACCCCATCTCAACTGAATATATAAAAATTAGCTGGGCGTGGTGACAGACAATTGTAATCCCAGCTACTTGGGAGGCTGAGGCAGGAGAACTGCTTGAACCTGAAAAGTGAAGGTTGCAGTGAGCCAAGATTGCACCACTGCAATTCAGCCTAGGTGACAGAGCAAGACTGTCTCTCAAAAAAAATGAATAAATAACAATTAAAAAATATGTATGGATATAATTAGCAACATCAATACAAAGTAGAAAGCAGATGTACTGAGAAAGAATTTTTTGTATGCAAACAAGGTCAATTTTTTTTGTTTTGTTTTCAGATGGAGTCTCACTCTGTTGCCCAGGCTGGCATGATCTCGGCTCACTGCAACCTACGTTTCCTGGATTCAAGCAATTGTGGTGCAAATAAGGTTAATTTTTTACTACATTAAAATTGTTTTTTTTTTAAGTTTTTATGTAATTCCCAAGGTACTACAAAGAAAATATCTGTATAGATACACAAAAGAAAATAAGAAAGTAGTGAAAGCATATAATACAAAAACCAAAGGACACAAAAGAAGACAGAAAGAGGGAAAATGAGGGACAAAGATACAAGAGTTAAAGAGAATTAATAAAATTACATTACTTTTGCTTTCAGAAAATTATTTAAATATATATAAAATTAACTTTTCAATCTAGAGACATAATTTTCAACAAAATGATTTATTAAAATCTTTCAAATGCCAAGATTCATTTGCCTTTTTACAAGAGTCAGTTGAAATCTAATGATTAAAAAAAGACTGAAAGTAGCAAGATGAAAGTAGAAATTTTACGCAAATATTAACCAAATGAGAGAAGAAGACGTCAAAATAATATTACACAAGCTACATCTTAAGTCAAAAAGTGTCATATTTAACAAGATGTACTTTGCCGGGCGCGGTGGCTCAAGCCTGTAATCCCAGCACTTTGGGAGGCCGAGACGGGCGGATCACAAGGTCAGGAGATCAAGACCATCCTGGCTAACCCGGTGAAACCCCGTCTCTACTAAAAAATACAAAAAACTAGCCGGGCGAGGTGGCGGGCGCCTGTAGTCCCAGCTACTCCGGAGGCTGAGGCAGGAGAATGGCGTGAACCCGGGAGGCGGAGCTTGCAGTGAGCTGAAATCCGGCCACTGCACTCCAGCCTGGGTGACAGAGCAAGACTCCGTCTCAAAAAAAAAAAAAAAAGATGTACTTTAAGTCAAAACTCTGAAAAGAGAAAAAAGGACACTGAACAATAGTAGATTCATTTACTGGGAACCAATGACTAGTTTGTGTGTGTGTGTGTGTGTGTGTGTGTGTGTGTGTGTGTGTGTGTGTGTACACGCATGCACATCTCACATTAGGGTTTCAAATATATAAAACAAATATTGACAGAATTGAAGAAACACACAGAGAGCAATATAATTATAGAATATATCAAGACCCCATTTTCTTAAAAATAAAACAAGACGGAATATTAGCAAGGGAATAGAAAACTTGAAATCAGTATGGAACGATTATTTCTAACAGAGGTATAGAGAGTTGAACATCAGGATATACACCCTTCCCAATAGCTCATAGAACATTCTCCTTGAAAGGACCATCTGTTAGGCCAAAAAAAATTCTTAACACATTTTTTAAAACAGAAATCTTATGAGTTACTTTCTGTGACCAAAATGGAATGAGATTATAATTTAAAGAACGGAAAAATTCACAAATACATAGAAATTAAACAACACATTTTGAGTGTGCTCTTGTTCAAAGGTTGAAATAATATTGTGTAGATTTCCATACTGCTCAAAGTAATCTAGAGATTTAATGTAATGTTTTTCATATTTCTTACTGCATTTCTGAAGAAATAGAAACAGCAACCCCAAAAGTATATGGAATCTCAAGAGACTATACTCAACAATCTTCAAAAAAAAAGGAACAATGTTGGAGGCATTACAGTTTTTTACTTCAAAACACATGACAAAGCTACATAATAAAAACAATTTTGTATGAATATAAAGATAAGAAAGTAGATAAATAAAATAGAATCCAGCACATGAACTTTCACATATATGGTCATACAAAGAGTCATTTACATACCCATAATTATTGCAGCACTGTTACTCAAAGCCAACAGGTAAAAGCAATGCAAATTTCTGTTACAAAATCATTTAGTAAATATAATTTGAAATATAAAAACACTGGAATATCACTCAGTTTGCAAAAAGCAGAAAATATTATAACAACTATAAAGATAAATCTTAACGACATTATGCAAAATGAAACGAGCCAGTCACAAAAAGACAGAGATCGTATGATATGTATGACAGTTACACTCTCTGAAACAGAACAAGAGTGGTGTTTGAAAAGTGAGATGAAATGGGAATAATTGGTAGTTGTTTAATGTATATTAAGATTCAGCTTTATGGTCAGACGTGATGGCTCACGCCTGTACTCCAAGCACTTTGGGGGGCCGAGGCAGGTGGATCACGAGGTCAGGAGTTCAAGGCCAGCCTGGCCAAAATGGTGAAACCCCATCTCTACTAAAAATACAAAAATTAGCCAGGCATGGTGGTGGGTGCCTGTAATCCCAGCTACCCGGGAGGTTAAGGCAGAGAATTGCTTGAACCTGGGAGGCGGAGGTTGCAGTGAGGCGAGATTGCACCACTGCACTCCACCCTGGGTGACAGAGTGAGACTCTGTCTCATACACGCACACAAAAAAACCACAGATTTAGCTTTGCAAGATAAAAACATTTTAGCATATGTTGCA